GTTTGACACCAGCTGGCTCATCCCGTGAAATTATATCAAGAGAGGAGAGACACTTCAAAGAACATCTGAGCCTGGAGTGTTTTTTCCTCATATTCGAAAGTACCGGCAGCAGTAAAACTTTAAAATTAAAAGGACAGACTCTTTTATCGAGTACATAGTTTAATGCCTCGTAATATCAAGTAATTTAATACAATAACAGCATTTTAATGGCTATAAGAATTCTTGCATCTAAATATACATCAACATGTCATCCAGCATATGTCACAATCCTTTCCTCGTACACTCCTCTTACAAACAAATTGCTTATATACAAACTACATACCAACTGCTTATACACAAACAACATGCAGACGAACTTAAAATACTTATGTTTAATCACATAGATAACCTTACTTTCAAATAATTGCTCCCATCTCCAGCCTGATTTTCCGATTCAGAAGACCATAGATAAAAGGGTTTAAGCCAGAGCCTATTTGAAATATCAGTTTTGTAACTTGTTGTAGCACTACAAACCAAACCTCATTCTCATACCCACCCAAACACCAAATAACAAGTGGATATGGTATATAACATAGCACGTAGGAACCGCACGTTAAAAGTATAGTTTTGGCCAACTTAAACTCTCTTTTCAACAACGAATCTTCCATCATATAACGACCTGTTTTCGAGATATTATTTATTTCATTTTTACAACAACAAAAACATCGAAACCCTCGTTGTTCTCCCGATTGCTGACGAGCTGTTAATGTTTCGTCGCTAGGGGACGTCTGGAGGCGTCTCACAGGTACGTGGAAGATTGGACGACTTTGGCCAACCGAGATTGCCTCCTCACGGGGTTCACCTTCACGGTTCCTAGCATCGGGACAGCTTGGTTGATGAGAAGGAGATGACCTGTCAAGACTGGCGGTGGTTAAAACGTTCACTACGCAACGTCGTTCGCCAAGCTCACTGTTACCAGTATACGCCATGCGGAGCTGTATTCTGCTAGCTCTGACATAACGAAATATGGCAATGTAGCAGTAAGCTGCTATGATGAACCCAACAAAGGTGTGACCAGCTCGCAAGTTAATTAACACAGGTGGGAAAGCAGTTTCATTACTACACCTGTCTCCAGGAATCCAAATATTAAAGATCAAATGAATACAACTCCACACGCTATTGTATATGTAAATACATGCGCATCCAAAAAACACTTTTCTTTTTGACATCAGGGCGTCATACTTTTTTGGTAAGCAAATCTTAATGTATCTTTCCACCGCTATAAAGACCAGGGAAGACGCCTACAAAAGTGATTGCCGAGTTCAATGTCAACCGGCCAAGGCAAAAATGAACGTTGTGCTGCATTGGGTGTAAAGCAGATACAAGGTAAACCAAATACTCGCTAACAATTTGCCATGGGATACAAAAAGCACTATTTATGACACCCGAAACAGTGAGACTTAACATAATAAGGTTTGTCTGTGTTTGAAGCCACGGGCATTTTATTATTGTTGCCAGGATCAAGGTGTTTAACGCAAAGCATGTAACGGTCTGGGCACCGCTCAGTGACATAAAAGGAATACAGTCAAAATCTATACAAGGCAGAATCAGAGTGCGTCCCTCTTCAAATTGGGTATTGTTTTTCTTTGCTGAATTGGTAAAAATTGGTGCCAAACTAAAAACATTCTCTTCCGTACTGCCGTTCATGGTTCCAACTATCTGTTTTTCTATTCGATCTTTGATTTCATCTCTGACACCTGAAAATAGAGAGTTATAGATGATATTTTTAAAAAATGCAACACATGGATACGATTTTTAAAAATAACAGTCCGTTAATGTGATAGCCATGAAATAAAGTGTTTACCCTTTGAATTTTGGACAAAGTATCAAGTTGCTGCACTTGGGTATCTTTCCGTGTCGATAAATTTTGAAATAATTGACGAGATAAGCATTTGAGGTGCGTTGTGCTGAAGTGCCTTCAAATCTATTTTGTCCATTATACATCTTTGTATTGATGATGGAAAAAAGTAAAACAACTCTAAATCTGACGCGCACGACACAACTTCTGCAACACTTCATAGGAGATGCTATACTCAAGTATATAGCGTGCCAGTATGTTAACACGTAAAGTGGAACTGATATGTTATTTTTGACAGATACAAGCCAAACCCTTCACTTCAAAAGATCTGCAGACATTTACAAATAAGGCGTCTGGGTTTGGTGTTGCGGTGACAGTGGTATTGTTTTCGAATTTGAGGACACCGTTACTCTAATCCCTGCCCAAAATCATTTTTGTGGAAAACAAAGTATTTGAATAATGTATAATCAGATTTAACATATTCTGTTGCCAACGGCAGCACTTGTT